GCTCGCGCGTCTCCTTCCCACCCCCTCCCGCCCCTCTCTTCCGCCCTGCCTTTCGCCTTGCTCGTCGCTGCGTGCCAGCTGGGGGGCTGCGATCTGTGAAACTGTCGCCACTTTCGAGGGCTGCTGGGGGGTCCAGCACAGTGGGTACTCACGGCAGACTCAAATGGGACCTCGCCATCCCTGGGGGGCTGCGATCTGTGAAACTGTCGCCACTTTCGAGGCCTGCTGGGGGGCCCAGCACAGTGGGGCAGATTCAAATGGGACCTCGCCATCCCTGGGGGGCTGCGATCTGTGAAACTGTCGCCACTTTCGAGGCCTGCTGGGGGGCCCAGCACAGTGGGTACTCACCGCGGACTCAAATGGGACCTCGCCATCCCTGGGGGGCTGCGATCTGTGAAACTGTCGCCACTTTCGAGGCCTGCTGGGGGGCCCAGCACAGTGGGTACTCACCGCAGACTCAAATGGACCTCGCCATCCCTGGGGGGCTGCGATCTGTGAAACTGTCGCCACTTTCGAGGCCTGCTGGGGGGCCCAGCACAGTGGGTACTCACCGCAGACTCAAATCAGACCTCGCCATCCCTGGGGGGCTGCGATCTGTGAAACTGTCGCCACTTTCGAGGGCTGCTGAGGGGCCCAGCACAGTGGGTACTCACCGCACAGTGGGTACCTCACCTCGCCATCCCTGGGGGGCTGCGATCTGTGAAACTGTCGCCACTTTCGAGGGCTGCTGAGGGGCCCAGCACAGTGGGTACTCACCGCGGACTCAAATTGGACCTCGCCATCCCTGGGGGGCTGCGATCTGTGAAACTGTCGCCACTTTCGAGGCCTGCTGGGGGGCCCAGCACAGTGGGTACGCCACACGCAGATTCAAATTAGACCTCGCCATCCCTGGGGGGCTGCGATCTGTGAAACTGTCGCCACTTTCGAGGCCTGCTGGGGGGCCCAGCACAGTGACGCCACACGCAGATTCAAATTAGACCTCGCCATCCCTGGGGGGCTGCGATCTGTGAAACTGTCGCCACTTTCGAGGCCTGCTTGCGGGGCCCAGCACAGTGACGCCTCCCAAGTAGCTTACACATCAAGTTGATTGTCCATACAAGTTTCGGCCAACTCCTCGTTTCCATTGATACAAATGGGTTGGGTACGTCACAGGGTAATTTCTCATGACTGCTTGGAAGCAGATCGCCATCCAAGGTTTTGGGCAGGTTTGATCTCGCCCTCTGGACCCATCCCGCCCGCCATCCTGGCCGCGCCCTCCCAGATGTGCCAACCTTGTTACAATGCAACAATCTGGCGACATAGAGTTGCCAATGTATGTCTCATTGTCAGTCACGTTTTTTTTGGGGGAGTTGTCGATTACCACGCAGCCGCAACACTCAAAGGGTGTACCAACCTCCTGGGTTATGAGACACAGGTTCTGTGGCTCGAGGTCTGGGGACTCTGCGACTGTTCTGAACATCTGTCTGCGTACCCAAAACTAAGGCCGCGAGGCGCGAAGCTATTCGCGCATCGCGCTTCGCGGTCTGACGGATGCTTCGCAATTTCAGAGCGAGGCATGGCATCGCGGTCCTCGCGGTTTGGGCGACATCAGAGCGAGGGCCCGGAAGCGGGACACTTGAACGGGCTGCGAGGCCGTGGAGCGAAGAGTTTGAAAGGGCTGTCGGGCCTGGACGCAAGAGACCTGAACGGGCAGGCGGGCCTGGAGGTCGGGAGTTTGAGAGGGCAGCAGGCCTGGAGGCAGGGGATTTTAATAGGCAGTCTGGCCTGTAAGCCAGGGATTTGAGACGGCGGCGGGGCCTGGAATGGAGGAGCTTGATTGGGGAACCCGATCCTGGAAGCAGGGGATTTGAACGGGCGGCGGGACCTGGAAGCAGGATATTTGAATAGGCAGTCTGGCCTGGAGACCAGGCATTCGATCGGGCAGCAGGGCTTGGAATAAAGGAGTCGGACTGGGGAGTCGGGCCTTGAAGCAAGGGGTTTGAACGGGCGGCGGGGCCCGGAAGCAGGGTATTTGAGCAGGCAGTCGGGCCTGGGAGCCAGGGAATTCGAACAGGCGGCGGGGCCTGGAATAACGGAGTCTTATTGGGGGGTCGGGCCTGGAAGCAGGGGATTTGGACGGGCGGCGGGGCCTGGGAGCAGGGGATTTGAGTAGGCAGTTTGGCCAAGAAACCAGGGCTTCAAACTTGCGGCAGGGCCTGGAATGGAGGAGCCTGGTTGGGGAGTCAGGCTTGGAAGCGGGCGATTTGAACAGGCGGCGGGGCTGAGGCAGTCTGGCCTGGGAGCCAGGGGTTTGAAGGCGCGGCGGGGCTTGGAATTCGAGGAGTCTGCTCAGGAGGTCGGGCCTGGAAGCAGAAGGTTTGAACGGGCGGCGGGGCCTGGAATGGTGGAGTTTGTCTGAGGGTCGGGCTTATGAGCAGATTTTCTGATCGCGGGGCAGGGCCTGGAACCAGGGGATTTGATAAAAGGCCTTGCGGCCTGGAGGCAGGGCCTGATTTGTGCCACTTTGGGGCCTCCTGGAGCTTTCGGAGGGCTTCTCGGGGGCCTGGTACCGATCTCGGGGGTCGTCTTGGGGCGGAGGCCTCGAGATGTCGGTCCGTGTCCTCTCCGGGGCGCCCTCTTGCGCCGTCTTGGGCGCCCTCTTTTGCGATCTTGGGGGCCTCTTGGGTCGTGTTGGAGCATCGCAAGGCCGCAAGGCGAGAGCGCTAGAATCTCAAAACTCTCACCAGGAACATAGGTAATTTTGGCTTCTGAGGGCCCTACTGGGGGGCCTCTTGGAGCACTCTAGGGGCGTCCGGAGGCCATCTTGGGCGTCTTGGAGCGATCTTTCGATATTTCGGGGCCCTCTTGGACTGTCTAGGGGGCCTTTTGAGTCCCCTGTTGCCCGTCTCGGGGCTTTTCTGGCTCTGGAGAAGTCGCGCGACAACACGTAGGGAACCGCGACACGTCTCAGAGAAACCGTCCATTCGGGGTCTGGGCCTGTTGATATTCATTGAGTCAGAGCTGCGGACGGAGAGCGCCAGAGACCTAAAGACATTCCAACTCGTACCTCGCGGCATGTGGCAAATGATTATGTATGGGTATGCACAATACTGTGAAGGCCTTACGGCCGGTGCCGCCGACCCTGAAGACGACGACGACGACGACGGCGATGGCGACGGCGACGGCGACGGCGACGGCGACGGCGACGGCGACGGCGATGAGGACGACGACGGCGACGGCGACGGCGACGTCGACGGGCACAACGCCGACGGGGGTAGTTTTGGGGCCTCCTGGGAGCGTCTTGGGGGCCTCTTGTGGGGCTCCGGGGGGCCTCTTGGGGCCTCTTTTGGACCTCTTGGTTGCCTCTTGGGGTCTCTTGGGGGTCTCTTGGGGGCTTCTTGGGGCCTCTAGGGGGCCTCCTGTGGGCCTCTTGGGGCGGAGTGCTCGAATTTTCCGATCGCGATCCCTCTCTGGGGCCCCTCGTGGGGCCGTCTGGGGCGATTCTTGTGCTGTCTTGGGGCCCTCTTGGGCCGTTTTGGGGCCCTCTTGGCCCGTCTGGGGGAGATCTTGGGGACCTCTTGGGCCGTCTTGGAGCGTGGGAACGTCGAAAAGGCGCAAACGCAAAAATCATTCAAAAGCCTAACAACAAGCAATGATTTGGCCTCTTAGGGCGCTCTTGGGACGCCTCTTGGGGCGCTCTCGGGGCGTCTTTGGGGGCCGTCTTGAGGCCAGTCTTGGAAACCTCTTGGGCCGTCTGGAGGCTACTTTGGCGTCTTGGACCGGTGGTTCGGCGATTTGGGGCCCTCTTGGACCGTCCTGGGGGCCTCTTGGCCGTCTTGGGGCTTTTCTGTGCCCCAGGAGCTCCCCGGGGGGAGGCTTATCTGGGTGGCGACCCCCTCCGAGACCCACCCGGGGACCCTCCCTGGGCCCCCCCCCCGGGACCCCCGCCCCGGGGAAGGGATCAATGAGACGTTGGTCTGTTCGGCGACTGGCTCAGGGAGAGGAGCGAGAGCGGCGACCTCGATGTGGGAGCGGTGACGTCGACGACGAGGCTCTCGACGTGGGAGCGGTGTCGTCGACGACGAGGCTCACGACGAACAGCGTCTTGACAACGACGAACCGCATCTTCCACACGCCGACAGGGTCGGCGTCCCGTGTGAGAGTGTTGGGTCCCGGGCCCCTCCAGGAACAGAATGGCAAATGGGGCCACCCCCAGAGTGCCCACTTTTGAAAAGGGGGTTGAGGGCTGTTTTTGTTGGAGCTTAAGGGGGCCTATTTCGGTTCCAAGAAGAATAGTCGAAGTCGCAGATTCGACATCCGAGCGGCGCCAGGAGACCGCCCAGGTGGCCAAAACATGCCCTAGACGGTCCAGGATACCGTCAAAAGCGGTGCCACATGCCACCAGGACGCCTCCAGAACGCTCCAAGAGTACCTTCAAGAGGCCTCCGAGAGGTGCAAATCATGGAGTATCTGGAGGTTTTCGATGATTTGCGTACTCGCTTTCTTCGTCTTCAGAGCGTCCGAGACGGCCCATGACTCATGACGCACCCATTATCGCCCAAAGACGACCCGAGGGGGCGCCGAGAATGCTTTAATGTTAGCCCAAGAAGGTCCAAGAGAGAGGCTGATGACGGCCAAAGACGGCTCATGATGGGGTCACGACGGCTCCACGACGACCCTAAGAGACGCCCACGATGTCCCAGCGCCCAAGATGGCCCAGAGGTGCCGAAGATGGCTCAAGAGGGCGCCAAGACGGCTCAAGGGACGCCCAAGACGGCTCCAAAACGGTTCCAAGAAGCCCGTCGGACCCCCTTGAGACGGCCCCCAAACGGCTCCTAAGATACCCCCAAAACGCTTAAGAGGCTTCCTCCGTAGCCATTTTGGCTTAACCAGTGGCTCAAGGGTTTGAGCAGTGCTCCCGCTTGTTGGGACAGCCAGATTTGCCGTCGCGCCGTTCCGCCTCGCCTTCAATGGCACTCCCGATGAAAGCCCCTGTCATGAAGAGCTCTGGTGCGAGAGGCATGAAGGTGATGAACGCGAAGCGCGTGAGCAAGATTGCCAGGGGCAAGTTGGGCCGCGCATGATGTTGCGTGGAAGCAAGGAGAAGACCGCGTCGGGACTCACAGAGGACAAGCTGATGGCAAGACCGTCCAGACGTCCATCAAGGTGTAGGCTGAGTGTGTGGCCGCTGCCACGAAGACGCTTAACTTGAAGTGTTTCGTCGCCATCAACGGCAAGCGCCCAGAAGGCAAGTCGCTCGACGCGAAGGAAAAGTCGTTGTGTGTCGCTCGCAAATGTACCTTGACGAGTGGAAGCCAGAGGGCGCGTGGTAGTTCACGGCCCTTTTTCATCCGCCCGACAGCTGAATCAGTGGGGGCGTGTGCACTAATGTTTGATTTCATCCTCGGCCGTTCGGCGTACGCGTGTGTCGACCGGCTCCCTCTTCCGCTTTAGCAGGAAATAGGCAGCAGACAAGCAATGACGCCCAAGAGGCTCCACAACGGTCCTAACGCGGCTGGAGGTGGTCATGGCACTTTTCAAGACTGCCGACAAGAGCGCCAAGACATGCCACGATGGCGCACGAGGGTCCAAGATCTCCCGCGAGGCCCCGATATCTCGGTGGAGCTTCACCACCCTCCTCCCCCCTTCCTGTGTGATTCTGGGCCAGGTAGCGGGGCCGCGATAGCGGTGGCACGAGGCGCACTGGCGGAATCAGGACGGACGTGAATGCGTGCACGTCGGTATGTTGACATACATTTACGTACGTTTGCCAGCGTGTATTCCAACACGTTGAGTTACTGCACTCGCGATGTGGAAGCCAAGCGGTGTAAACCTGAGTAAGTTATGTGATGTGAGCTATGTGGGGTATTCGCGGAGGCGAATTCTCGGCAGACCCACCCATCGGCCACGATCAGCCACGTGCGTAAAAAAGGCGCATGGGGGGACGGGGGAAGGCTCCTCAGAAGTACCCCTGCATCTTGAAAGGCACGGGTCTTAGATGTAGGGCGGGTGCCGCCTAAGAAGCGACTTCCTTGTAAAATTCCCCCCCCATACCCCCAGGAGGGAAAACGCACGCGAACACGGACGCAAATAATCGATGATGCCCAGGACAATATGGGAACTATGGGAACTGGGGGGGAAGACGAAGCTCCAGAACATATTGGAAAAATGGGTCACCCTGGAATTTGTGTCTACTTAGTTGTGTGTCCCTGGGCGCCGTCATGCCGCCTCGTGCGCGCCGCCAACGCGAGCGGCGACGAGCGGCGACCCTGAGCGGCGACGGTCTGGCGCGGGGCGCCGCGCGGCGCATCTTCGGCGCCAGGCGCCCAGCGGCGACGCGCGGCGGCCCCGAGCGGCGACGAGCGGGCGCGCGGGGAACACGCGGGGCTCCTTTTCAGGTCTAGCCAGGATCCTGGTTTAGGGGGGCCGGTCAGATATTGGGCCCCGAAGCCTAAAACATGGACTGGAATCGCCAAACCAGGTCAGCCATGGCTGGTTTTTCCTCGTGTGACGGCAGCTGTGGCCAGTGGAGTGGGGCGGGGGGGACGTCCCCCGCTACGCATCACTAAACCAGGTCCCGCTAGATCCAGTCTCGCCAACGCCCGACTTTCGGCTTCAAGACGCATCCAGAATGGTTCGGGAGGACGCCCCCAGAGGCCCCCAATACGCCTTCAGGAGGCCCCCAGGGGCCCCAAGATGCCCCAGAGATGCTGCCCCCGAGATGCCCCCCCGGAGACCGCACTAAGCCACTCAGAGACCGCTGGTCTACGACCCAGGCGCGGTGGTATTACTGGCCGAAGGCCACGGGCCCCCCGACGGACCGTTCTGTGACCGTTCTGTAGGAGCAGTGGGAGGAGGGGGGTAACGATGAGGAGGTGAAGGAGAATGAGGGATGCGAGGGGATGATTACTGCGATGGGAGAGAGGAGGAGCAGGATGAGGACGGGGTAGGGGTAGGGGTAGGGGGAGGATGACAGGTAGGAGGAACAGGTGGAAGACACTGATATCAGCATATCCGCGATGATGAGTGAGATGAAGGCCGGATGAGGATGTGGACCCCCCTTCGGGAGCATCCGAAGAGTTCAGGAACTAGTCAGACAATCCATGTTTTCCCAGAGATTATCGAAAGCAGCAAGCCACCTGACCCACAGAAACAGTTGGGGGCCGCCGAACACTGCCCGCCGAACGCCGTCGGGAACCGCCCAGAACTTCCGAATACTCTCCATCCTCGTCGCCCTCGTCCTCCTCCTGCTCCTCCTCCTCTTCCTCCTCCTCCTCTTCCTCCTCCCTTCTTCACCCCCTCATATCTGAAGGCGCCAGGCGGATCCCCGCAAACTCCTGAACACCGAGTCCCTCGACTACGAGAGCGCTTCCGAGTTCAAGAGCCAGTACCATCTCCTCAGCGCGCAAGGCCTGGGCCGGAGGGGCAGGAGCAGGAGCCGAGGCGAGAGGATCGGGAAGGGGGACGAGGTCGGGCGTCAGGTAGAGGGTAGCCCAAGGTGGGACAGGGAAGCGAATCCGC